CCGTTTGCAAGGGCATTGCCCAGGAGATAAGATTTGTGTTATGTGTTTTGTGAATTTTGGTTGGCCAACAAATATATCCCTCTTTTGTGGATTCTGGATTTTGTTTTATTTGTCTAATGTCGTGTTAGATTTGCTGGCATGCAAATTTGTTATGTAAATTGCAACACTGGCACTCTTTGTGTGAAAAGCAACATGCCTGAACCTCTTTTTTAATATTGCATCTATGATCCCACAGAAATCTAAGGGTGCATCCAGACAGCCCCTTAAAACCAGAAGCATCTAAATGACGCTCCATGTAAAAGCAAATGCATTTGGCACAAAGAAGAAAAACCATGCTTTGTGCTGAATTAATTTGTCAGTTGGAAAGACCTGGGTCTTTCCAGCTGCAGGCACTGTGTAGTTGGCGACCAAGCATTGTGTTATGCAGCTTCTGGTGCCCATCTACACAACTGTCTTGGGTTTCTTCAGTTCCTGGAGCCCAAGGAGCCCTAGATAGCCCCCCCTCCCAACCCCCACCCCCCAAAGTGTTTAAAAAGAAAATAACTTACCCAGCTGGCGTTAACCTGTTGCCAGACCTCTCCTGGTGCATAGAAATGACACACCAGGAGAATGGGGAGGGGGAGGAAAATTGCTTGGAGCTCCACTTCTCCTGGTGCATCATTTCTATACACCAGGAGAGCTCCGGCAGCAGGGAAATGCCATTCAGGTATTTTCTTTTTTAAATATGTTTTTTTTGGGGGGGGGGGCGGGGGTTGTGTCCCAGGTTGAAGGGCTGTGTGGAATCGCCCAAAGTGATAGTAATGAACCCCAGAAAAGTAAATAGGAACATGTGGAAATGCTGCAGTACTATGAACTGAATAGTTATGGTCATGGCTATTTATGCCTATTAAGTCATAAATAGTGACTTTTGAAATCAGTCATTCCAATTATTTAAAATTCAGAAATATAAAACAGAGAGAGTCTCCTTGTTTCACAAATAATGTGATTCTGATTCTACCAGAATGAGATTATGAAAATAGTCAGAGAATGCATTTGTTAATAAGTATAATATCTGTATGAACTGTCCACCTGCTGATAAACTGCAGAGTTTTACTTTACAATGAAATTTGCTGAATTGTTTTTAAACATCTTGCAATGAAGCATTATTGGGATTACTATTTGGAGCACAAATCTTTTTAAGCATTAAAACACCCATTCTAAATGAGTTTGCATTGTCTTGTTTACCCTTGTTCATTAATAAGCAACTTGTTACTGTTAGAACAGTCCACGTATACTGGAGGAACCTGTTTAGTAGGCAATTTAGATATATTATGGATCTAATTATATTTTTGTTGAAGACTTTCAATTAAGACTTTCTCGTTATCCAGTGGCATAAAAAGAATGTTCACATACATATACTATGCATTTACACCACTCAAGTTGGTTAAGGAATGTGCTTGTTTTTCATTATGTTAAGGAGGGAACAATACCTGTTCTATCTCCTAAGAGTATATATTAACCAGTGGTGATATTTAGTTTTCCCTCTTGGAAATAGTGTCAATTAGAATAATACAACAATTTATGGTTTTTAGGCACCAGCATCTATAAGCAGTTCTGATATTTCACAAGAAAACAACTCTTTTCATTGTGAACTTTAATTCCCTATCTTCATCCTGTGCCACCACATTCTCCCTAAAAGAAAACCAAAAAGCTTACATTTTTCTCAAGGGATTTTGTACTTTCATCTCTAGCATCCTGCAGAGAGAAACATATGCTGTCATGTTACACATTTATATGTGTCAGCTTAGGAATGAGAAGATATCTTCCATGTTATGATATGAGAGAAAAATATTGGCTTCACCACAATTGAGGGAATGAAATATGAACATAGGAGAAGAGCAGGGTGAACGATTCACCTGTGGCATTTTTTTCTTTCATTTTTTTTTGGAATGTGCTTAATATAGCAATGTTTACTGTGTATCTATGCAAGAAGATCAAAGAAAACTATACTGACAAGCACAACCTGGTTTCAATTCTGCAAGTGCCAGTAGCAAGGTTAAGCATTCCAAAAATCCGCATTAGCAAAGTCGCATACAGTCAGAGTGGAGACTCTAAAGTCAGACTTTAGGAAACAGAACCACAGTCACAACAAACAAATTCCTATTGGAGAAAGAGAAGTTAAAATGGAGGACTCAGAACCAAATCTAACAAGCAACCCATCAGGGCCATCTTAGGCATTTTAGGCAGAGTGCATATGATGTTAAAGCCTTCAAAAACAGGATTAACAAAAATATTTACAAGAATTAGGAAGAAAGCAAAACATTCAAAATAAAGACAAATTTGACTTCTGATTTTTAACAGATATGCATGTTTTGAGGTGCTCAATAGGACAGTTTTTGGAATGATGTTTATACGAGGTAGGCCTGTGCGGTTTCGTTCGTTAATTTTGTAATTCGTTAAACATTCGTTAATTTTTGCATTTACGAAACGATAACAAAACACTTTTTTAAACCCGGAAGGGTTTAAAAATAACGAGGCGGCATCCCCCATCCTTTTAACGAGTTTCCGCCCGTTTCGGAAATTGGATGGAGGATGCTGCTGGTGCCTGGGAGCCAATCCGGCGCTCCGGCGCCCCTTTCTCTTTGCCCCGCCCCTCCCCCGCGAGCGCGCTTTGCCTCCTTGCTTGCTTGCTTGGCTTGGCTTTCCCTTCCCGGCAGAAGGATGGCGAGCAGTGCAGCGACTGCTGGAGCCGCGGCTGCGGCGGCCGAGAAGGAGGCGAGCCAGCAGAGCAGCCTGGGCGCCTACTCGCCCGTGGATTACATGAGCATCACCAGCTTTCCCCGGCTGCCCGAGGAGGAGGAGGCGGCGGCAGGAGGAGGAGGAGGAGGGGGCTCGGAGAGCTGCCTCCGCTCCCGCAAGGAGGAGGATGCCTTCCTCGGGGAGCAGGAGACCGGTGAGAGCGGGAAGGAGGGAAACACCCGCTTGCCTGCCTGCCTGCCTGCCTCCATCCTCCCTCCATCCACGCATCCATCCTCCTCCGAGCATCTTCTCCCTTGGATCATGCCCCCTTCTTCCATGGTGCAGGCTCCCCTGCAGCCAAGGCCACCCTCCTCCTTGCCTCCCTCCCTCCTTCTCCCCTTTCCCTCCTCCCTCCCATGTCAAGCATCCTCTGATCTTCACCAAGGACTCCCAAACTCCTCCTCCTCCTCCTCTTCCTCCTCCTCCTCTAAGGGCTTTGGAGTTCAACTCCCAGTGGGGACCCCCAAAGGTCATCCAGTCCATCCCCCTTGTTTAGAAGCAAGTTGAGGGAGCCCCCTTAACGAATCGACCCCGCGGCAATAACGTAAGCTTCGGAAATGTTTTGCGCATGCGCGCGGGGGTCCGCCATCTTTACAAAATGTTTTGTAAATATTTACGAAATTTCGTAAATACCAAAACTTTTTTTTGGGAAAGTTTTGTAATTATTTTAAATATCGAAAAAAAAAACACCCCAATTACAAATCGATTTTAGAACCAAATTTTTTCTTGATCAACCAGCCCTAATACGAGGTTCTAAATGAACCATTTCTCTCAGGGCCAATCCGGAATGGCAAATGCAGGATCAGCCTTGGGATGGTTTTGACTGGCAGCTGCTGGGGAGGTGGGAGGGAATCTGAACTGTCCAGCAGGAGGGAGATGGTAAAAGTGACCTGGGTTTGGCGCCACCACACAACTATCTTTACCACCTCCTTCCTGTTCTTATTGTTACTATGGCCACAGGGCATGATATAACTAGTGCAAGTTGCTGATTGCCTGGAGTGATGTCAACCAGAGTGCCAGAACAATGCAGGAGAAAGGAGAGAAGGATCACCTGCTCCCTTCTCCCTCCTTTCTTCCATTGCCTTCTTGCTTTGGCTATCGTCACATTGCCTAGAATCAGGTCAAGTGGCCTAACTCTAGGTGATGAGCAGGCCCATGTCAAGCCTGCTGGCTGCTGTGACAATAAAACTGGGAAGGGGCAGTGAGTGCTATGTCTCCAGGCTATTTGGGCTCGGGGAATATGGGTGGCCATGTAAACAGTTGCTACTGGTTCCATCTCAGAACTGGCCCAACAGCTTATGTGCACCCAAAGGCACAGATTGTTCTGGATTCTCTGGGAAAATTTGGAGCAACCCACAACTTTTGTTAATGTGGTTTAAAGCTGTGTTAAGCAGACTTGGCCCTCATTAACCTGAATCAGCTCCATGCACCATTAAGCCACTATGGAGCTGATTCACACACACACCCGCTTGCACACCACCACTTTTTGGGATATGTTCTGACCTAGTGATATGTCAGGACAAGACATTAAGTTGAATATTAAATGCAAGAATGCCTAGGGTCTGTGAAAATCTTAATGTATCTCAGCATTTCAGATCAAGCACCAATGAAATAATGTTTATGTCAGTGTCAAATGCTAACAGCCAAGTCCACATGGTTATAGTAGCTTCTGCAGTCCCAAATATTGTGTGGGCAACCACATCCCCATGCAAGCCCAATTTCCAGTAGAGTCTTCCTCATGAGATGTCCTTTTCCTGTCAAGAAGCTCTTTGCTGTAGCCCAATACTTCTTAGCATTGCAATTTTTCTTTGTCTCTACTGCTAAGTTGCCCCTTCTTGGGCCCTTAGCCATTCCTCCTCAGAACATTAGCGGCTCCTAGATATCTGGCTCTGCTAACTAATGCAGGGCTGTGAGCTATGGAACTTTGGGGTTCAATCTAAAAAAGACTTCTCTAGTGGGAAGTTCCATTAGTTTGTGATACCAGAAGCAACCTCGGCATCTTAAGCATCTAATGAAATAGATTGCAGTTTATCAGTTCCACACATTTTATTCCTGTTGTAGCTAAATTTGAATCATAAAACCACCTCATTTGGTCACAATAAAACTACTTTTCACTTTGTTATTCACCCAAAGACCATGGTACTCTGCACATGTCTATATAATGTTTTTTTTTAAAATCTTAATAAAATTTCATGCATTGCTGACCCATTTTCTGTCCACAGTCGCTGTGCTGCGAAATTAAGCAGAGGCGCCGAGGGGTGGGCTCAATCCTGCGCTTGTGCCAGCACCTCCTTGACAATCAAGATACCTGCAATCTGAATGCAGATCATCAGTCGATGCAGCTGATCATTGTAAATCTTGAAAGGAGATGGGAAGCCATCGTCATGCAAGCTGTCCAGTGGCAAACTAGACTGCAGAAGAAGTTAGCAAAACATTCAGTAAGTGACATCTGTTGATGTTCATCTGTATAGAGCATACGGTTTTCCCATTTGTTTTGAGTTAATTTTGATATCTTTACCAAGTTTATCAAATAATTAAGCTTCTGTATCCTTCTCCCAAAACCTGTCAGAGGATTTGCCTCAATAAGGACTATGCACAAAGGACACCAACTCTTGATGTACATATTTTTAACCAAATACAGTAGATTCTGAACTGTTTAAGACACTATGTGTGCTTTGTAAAATTAATGTTGGTGGCAGATAAGAGTAATTGACTCCCTGGTGTCAGCAAATATTTCCTATACACCATAACATACTATAAAGTTCCTTTCTAGAGTACAATGTTTTCATTATGAACATTCTGTTCCATTGCAGATATAGATCAGAGCTTAGAACATTTACTTTTTTGACTAAGTGCTTGTCTACACCAACCCTATAACTTGAAGTAAATCTGAAGTCAAATCTGGATGTCCTGATGATATCCAGGGACTTCTGGTCTTTAATAGAGGAGAAATCAAGCTAAGCGGATTAAGACATTATAGGACTAATTATTGTCCAGAAACAGATGGGTGGCTAATTTGTGTATACACTCCACTATGGAAGCAGTTAGAATTTTTTTGATCTAGTTAAAAAAATCTGCAATACAGAAGAAGAATTGTGTGTGTTGCTATTGTGGTTTTAGATGTGAATGTGCATTCACACGTGTAGTTGTTTGCATGTGCAGGAATACATTGTGCAACATCATTATTCAGCACAAGGGTTACATAGCACTACCATGGCAGAACTTTGTATGAGGAGATTTAGACTACAATACCTCAGTTTAAGATCTCAGGCATGAGGTCAGATTTGGAATAATAAAGGTAGAATTATTGTACATTTAATCCAGTTCCATCTCTCCTGAAACAAGCTATCCCATTTTGAAAATCATCATAGATGCGTGCTAAACCTTTCCTTGCAAATCTGCTATGGTAAATGACTAATGGGTGATGTGGTTTGATCTGTATCCTGATTGTTGACTAGAGCAACTTATAGCATACATAAGGTGCAATAACAAGAACAGGTGTGTAGTGATGTCAACTTTTCTCACCTCCATCCTGTATACAGCAGCTGGCCTTACATGACACTGGTGAAGGAGGGGGAAAAAGACAGCAGACAAGTGAAGATGGAGCTTCTATATTGTTTTACTTGTCAACAGCTGCATTTGGGATGCACTTTTTTTGTTTTGTTTTGTTGTAGTCCTGCTTCAATTTAATCTTCTAGAATTTATTGCTCTCTTTTGCTCAAAGCAGAGAAAAGAGACAACCCTACAGGCTGCTGAACACATAGGTGTAAGCTGCCACTATGGCCAGAGCTGTTCTCTGCTTTTCCAGGTGCATGGTAGCCACAATTCCTCTAAATAAGCTGCTATGTGTTAATTAAAGGCTAGTGTTGCTTTTGCAGCAGGAGAGATGCAGTTTTGTGGCTCTATTTGGACAGAAATCGATTGAGAGGTGAGGTGGGGGAGTATACAGGCACTGTTTGTTTTCTTGATGTCAAGATGCCAGGGAACTTCACAAGCGCCACATCGCTTTGTTCCCACTTTGCCTGGGGTAACCAAGACTTGTTATTAGATTGAATTACCTTTTACCTGGTAGGAAATACAACTTCGTTTCTGCCAAGAAATGACAGCCTTTAAGAATTCTCAATATGTTATTAATTGTAGATTTTCTCTTTCTTTTAAAGAGAACCTCTCACTCCCAAAATACGCATAATATGAAAATGTGGATATTTGTATCTGTGGGTATCTCAGGTGATAAAAAGAGTTTTTAGGATCTGAATGCTGTATTTGCAGCTGAATTTAGTCTCTGTTGCATATTCTCTCCCTCTTTCCCTCTCTTTCCTATGATTCCAAGCTGGCATGCTACCACATCTCCTTTCATTCAGTTCCTGTGTAGTCATTTCTTGGGCTGATCCCAAGATTGCTTTTTCTGCTTTGCCTATCTGTCTGCACTTGATGATGTGCCAGTCTTGGCAGATGAATGGTATCCCTGGGAAACAAGCTTTTTTTGTTATTATCTGAGGTTGCCCACAGTATACTGTAATATATGAAAACAAATGAGATGTGTTTACATCTCCAATGGCATCTGATCCAGTATTGGCAAGAATAATTGACAATGAAAATACTGGCCTGGATGATTAGATCATGTGTTATGGAAGTTCAGGAGCTAGTTCTATCTTCTGTCCTTTAATATATCATATTATCTACAAACATTTTTCTTTGTATGAACCCCAGTGGCATCCTGTTATGATTTATCCAGAGCTTGGAGAGTTTGTGTGTGTATATATGTCTCTGTGTGTTTTAGCTTTTAAAACAATGTTTTCTAGATGGTTTACTGTTTATTATCACAGTGCAATCCTTTACCTGTGTCCACAGGCATAAGTATTTATAGGTGTATAGCCTTAACTGTTTACTATTTGTATCAAATAATAGTTCCATAATTTAAAATATGAACATCTTTTTCAGAAGTTTTGGAGTTCTTTTTTTCTTTTTCAGGCAGTCAAAGTCAACTGTTAGTCCAATGTAAGAATTCTCTAAACTAGATAAGTGTATTTGAACAAGAGAAGTTTCTGGTAGATTGTTTCTCCTATAGTCAAACTGTATCTAATGGCAGTTGGCATGCAATTGCCAGCTGGAACAACCCCAAACGTTCTTTCACCATTCAATGATTTGTTGCCTAAAGTCTATTTCTAGAAAGTCTAAATTCATTCATTTAATTTAGGTGGCGAGAATCTGTGCATTACTCTGACTGACAATTTGCAAAATTTATTTCAATCAAAAACAATAATAATGAAGCTCAGTACTGTGGTCTTCTTTGGTTATTTCCAAATGCTGAGTTCAAGGACTCCTAAAAGTGAAAGGTAACACAACACACAAAAGCTAAGAGAATTTAATGTTTTGGTCAGTGCTGTCTATGTTCAGCTAATGAATCTAAAGCAAATCTCCTCTGCTGCACCTCCATATCAACATCAGCCAGAAGATGAATTCCCAGGACTGGGACAAAATAGACAACCTCACTTATAGGAAAATGGAGAAAAACATGGCTGTCTACACCAACAGACAAAACAAAAATTCCACAAACGCCAAAAGCAACAGCCGAAACCAGAACTGGATATACCACGGACCATCATCAACCTGACAGACAGACAACTCTCTGAAGAACCAAGAATCCATACTAGCAAAAGGAGGAAATTTTGCTGTAACTGCCACCAGGATCCCAGTAAAAAACATCATTGCCAATGTCAAATCAGCAATTTATCGCCTCCCCGAGGAAGAAGTAAGAGGGGAAACAGCAAGGATCCTGAAAAAGGCAAAACTTCCCTCCAGTGACATAACAAGGAAGGAAAGACAAGCCATCAGAGACCTCAACTCAGATCCTGATTTTATCATTCTCCCAGCAGACAAGGGGAATGCCACAGTAATCATGGATACAGAACAATACAAGGAGAAGACAAAGGTAAAAAAACTCCTGGATCCTACTATATACAGAAAACTTGAACATGACCCAACTTCCAAAATAACCAGGAAAACCAACACTCTGATTAAGAACTCCTCAATAAACTTCGACATACGACAACAGCTATGTAAACCCAAAGTCCTTCCAACTAGGCTTAATGGACTTCCAAAAATCCATAAGAACTCCACCCCACTCAGACCCATCGTGAGTGCCATTGGATCCCCCATGTACGACTTAGCAAAATTTCTTGCTGCACTGTTACAAAGCCATATTGGGCTCACTACACACTACATCAAGGACTCAGCCCACTTCATTGAAAAAATCAGCAATCTCAAGCTAAATACCAACGACAAACTAATCAGCTTTGATGTGGTGTCTCTATTTACCATGGTCCTGGTAGCAGACACCATTGCACTAATCAACCAGAAGTTCCCAGAAGACATCACAGCTCTGTTTCACCATTGCCACACCACCAGCTACTTTCAGTGGGACAATGAATTCTACGAACAGAAAGATGGAGTAGCTATGGGGAGCCCTCTCAGCCCAGTCATAGCTAATTTCTACATGGAACACTTTGAAAAACAAGCCCTGGAAACAGCAACAAAAAAGCCCACTATATGGTTCAGATATGTGGATGACACCTTCACCATTTGGAGCCATGGAGAAGAAGAACTCAACAGGTTCCTGGACCATCTTAACAGCATCCACCCAAACATCCAATTCACCATGGAAAAAGAAAATGAAGGAAGACTGCCTTTTCTAGATGTCCTAGTCATCTGTAAACCAGATTAACAATTGGGTCACACCGTTTACAGAAAACCCACACACAGAAATAGATGTCTACATAAAAACTCCAACCATCACCCAAGTCAAAAAAGAAGCACCATTAAAGCCTTGGCAGTCTGTGCAAAAAGAATCTGCGAACCCCACCTCCACCAAGATGAACTGAACCACCTAAACTGGGCTCTACAGGCCAATTGATACTCCACCTCAGACATCAGAAGAGCTGCAAGACCAAGAACAAGACACGAGAGTAAAGACAAAGATCCACTCAGAAGAAAAGTGTTCTTGCCATATATCAAGGGAACCACTGGCCGCATATGAAAGCTGATGAGGAAACACGACATACAAACTATCTGCAGACCCACCAAGAAAATACAACAAATGCTACGTTCAGCAAAGGACAAGAGGGATCCTCTCACTTCTGCAGGAGTCTACCATATACCATGCAGCTGTGGACAAATCTACATAGGGACCAACAAACTCAGCATTGCCCAAACACAAATCAAGGAACATGAAAGGCACTGCAGACTACTTCAACCAGAGAAGTCAGCCATAGCAGAGCACCTGATGAACCAACCTGGACACAGCATATTATTTGAGAACATAGAAATGCTGGACCACTCTAACAAACACCATGTCAGACTACATAGAGAAGCCATTGAAATCCACAAGCATGTGGACAATTTCAACAGAAATGAGGAAACCATGAAAAGGAACAAAATC